TGAGCACACAGAGACCCCAGGGGAAGGAGGCAGGGTGAGCAAAGCCAAGCCCAGGGCCCTGGCAGGGCGCAGGCAGAGCTGCTGCCGCGGGGACTCGGCTCCTAAGAGGATTTTTTTTTGTCTTAGACAACAAAAATAAACCCCTGCTTTCCGGGAGCTAGAAAAACCCAACGGAAAAAACTTTCTCCTGCTCCAAGTGGAGCCTTAGAAACGTTTTTGTCTCGCTGGCCTTTGGCACAGTCAAGGCTTCCCAAGGCTGTCAGGTCTGGGTCCGACCCCCTTCTCCACCCAAAGCGTTTTTCCACCAGGAAACACAATCAGGATGGGGGGAAAAAAGGGGACAGGATGGGCACCGGGGACAAACCCTCCACCCCACGGCTCCCCAATGTCTCCTGGTGGCAGATGAAACCTGATGGACCAGCAGCCGTGCTCGCCCAGGATGTAAATTCCTTTACACCATTTACTTCCCTCCTTGGAGGCAGCGCCAGGCACTTGGAAGCAAAGGGAAATGCAGATGGTGCTGGGGGGACACGTGTGAGCACACACACAAACTCCAGCCAGGAAAAGCAGGGAGCTGGGGAGCACTGCTCCCTGGGAGCACCTCCAAACTGGCCAGGGATCCCCGGCACAGGATCTGGTCACGGCACAGGGCTGCTCTCCCTGGGGAACCAGGAGAAGAAGGACCAGCCCCTGCACACCAAAGCTGCAAGGAGGAGGAGCAGGGGAGATGGGACAGGCTGAGCAGCACGGGAGGAGGACACATGGACCCTCCCCTGCCATGCTGGGGGTTTCTCAGGGCTGGGGATCCCTGGGGAAGGAGGAGCAGAGCTGGTCCCCAGGCTGGGCTCGGGTGAGGAGTGGGTGGCTCCAGCAATTGGAAGGGAATAAATAAATGCAAAAAGAGGGAGGTGTCACACAGCAGACACCAAAACAATAACAAGGCTGGGACTTCTCCCAGCCCTTTAAAGAGCAGATGCTTTGATACAAGGTTGAACCCAGCACTGAACTGCAGGGCCACAGGGAGGCTTCATGTCTGGGTGAGCCAGGAGTGGATGCTCAGGTTCAGCTCCAGCCCCTGGCTTCTGACAGTCCCCACCTCAGGGACAGCCCTGTCCCCAGGTGCCAGCCCTGCCTCTGCCCTTTCCCATGCTGCTGTCGTTGGGATGGAGCTCACAGCTATCCCATCACTGGATCTGGTGCCTGGTTCTGCCTTTTAACTGGGGGAGGGGTGGAAGCTCAGCAGGGTGCACCAGCAGAGGACACCATCACGAGGAGCAGCTCCTGTCTGTGCCACTGGCCACCTCCAGCCCATGGAGCAGAGCACTTGGCATGGGGAAGGCAGCACCCACACCAGATGAGCAGCCACAGCTCCCCACGCTGCCAGTATCAGCAGAGGAACTGGAGCCAAGAAACAACAGCGTTGCTGTTTCCCTCTGGCATGACAGATCCATATTTACACACACACGTGCTCGCAGCATCCCCCTCCACACTACACAAAGCCTATAGTAAGCTCTCCTCCTCCTCCTTCTCTCCCTTCCTGGGTGCTCAGGACACAAGTCACGCTGTTCTCTCCACATCCACAACCCCAGCAGCCTCGAGATGAGACGCAGGGACCTTTAGATAGATGCTCTCAGGACACAGAGCCCAGTGACTGCAGCAGCCCCACTCTGGACAGTGGAAAGGAAGGAACGAAAGAACGGGGACCTCTTACAAGCCCAAAAGAAGAAATCCCAAGTAGGACATTACTGGGGAGACCCAGGTGCTGTGGCAGGAGGATGCACAGCACTAGATGCTCCATGGGTGATAAGCTCCCAGGTGCAGGGGCTGATGCTGTATGTTAACAGGGTTTATCTGCAGGAATCCCCCATTTCCACACAGCTCTGCAGGGCTGAGGTGACAATACAGGATTATTTAGGTTCAAACATTTCCAAATTTCCTCCAAGGACCTTCCCCCAATTTCTACCGCGTGCATCGTAGGAGCTCAATCCAAAACACAACAGAGCTTTGCTCAGCAACTGTACCCAAGTTGTTTTCTGGCAGGTAACCCCACGGTCAAGCTCCCGAGGAGCAGCTCTGCCATGGCCCTGGCAGGATGGGGCCAGTGCCCACGCCGTGCCCAGGGCTATTACACAACGTGGGCTGACCAAATCTGGAACGCAACCTTTAAAGAAAGGCGACGGGGCAGGGGGAGGAGGACACCAAACAAAAGGGACATTTTACTTTCTGCCAAGAAGCAGGGGGGGGAAAGAAAAAAAAAAAAACAACAACAAAAAACAACCCACAACCATTTGTCTATCTCTCACAGCGGGCTGGTTGCCTTGGCACCAGAGCCTGGCTGTCCCCAGGGGGGGAGATTGTGGCTCTGCCACCCCGCTCTGCACGGGAAGGGCTCAGGCTCTGGGAAGGGCTCCTGGTGGCTCTGTCCTGGCTCCCAGCACTGAGCCTGCAGCACCCGGGGAAGAGACATCCCTGCTGCCTCCACAAACGCTTCCTGACAAATGTTAATTCTCCCAGCTAAAATATTCATGAGCGTGGCTGCCGAGGAGAGCCCTGCTCGGGCACTGCTCAGGCACTGCTCCCTCACAGAGCTCTCCAGGACTCTGCAAAGCTGGCTGTGGTGTGTGCTAAGAGCTCCCCACATCCCTGGTGCCCCGGCTCTGCTGATCGTGGTGCTCGAGGCAGGGCTCAAGCGGGATCTCACTGGGGCTGTGGCACAGGAGGGAGCAGGACTCTGCTGCCCCACGGCCACGGGCGCAACAGAGCGGCGTGGAGACAATCATGTCCCGCTCTGGGGAGACCCCCCTGCAGTGCTGGGGCAGCTCTGGAGTCAGCACAGCAGAGCCAGGGACCAGAGGAGCCCCAGCAATGCCCCGAGGGGGGAACCCCTGCTGGCCAGGCAGGCAGGGTAGGACTCAAAGGGGAGCCTACAAGAAAGATGAGGCTGGATATTTTTTTAGCCTGTTGTGACAGGACAAGGGGTGACGGTTTAAAATTTAAAAAGGAGAGACTTAGACTCAATATAATGAAGAAATTTTTGATGCTGAGGGTGCTGAGCCCCTGGCCCAGGCTGCCCAGAGAGGTGGTCGCTGGCCCATCCCTGGCACCATCCCAGGTGAGGTTGGAGGTGGCTCTGAGCACCCTGCTCTAGCTGCAGATGTCCCTGCTCCCTGCAGGGGGGCTGGACTCAATGACCTTGAAAGGTCCCTTCCCACCCAACCCAGTCAGTGATTCTATGCCTTGGCCTTGGGTGGGGGCAGCAATGCAGCTCAGACAGGCAGCTCCCAGCACAGCACTGGGAGCCCACACCAGCACCACCTCCACTATTCCCACCCAGAGGCCATCAGCAAGAAAGCAGCAACTCCTTGAAAAGTCACTGGGAGCTCCCTTTCCAGCCAGGCACAGCCTCCCTAAATCCCAGCAGGGGATGCACTGGGGCCGGCTCTGCCGGGTGCTGCTGCTGGGGTGCTCAGCCTGCCAGGGCCAGTGGGGTGGCCACGGTGTGTCCCGAGCTGCCCGGGTGCCAGCAGAGCAGGGCTGGCACAGCAGCAGGGCTTTAATGAGCTTTTCAGGCTCCCTGCCACCAGGCACGAGGCTATCGACGGGGCCACAGCTCCGCGGCCGGCGGATTTTATTACACTTATAGATCATCTAAGGGGCTGAGCATCCTGGATTTACTCCATCAGAC